TTGTGAGCTAGATACTGTATGATCACCATGCGAATATATACGGTGACCGTAATAAGCATATTCTTTGTGGATACAAATAATAACTGTTTGTCAGTCTCATCACACGAAATTAACTCAAGTGCTTAAAGTCGTAGACGGATCAGCCATAATCTAGACTAGCCTTATACAAGATATGGTCCACTGGTCACCTGTCCATTTGCACAAACACAAACACACCGAGGTAAAGATTGAAGGAGAACATAGGAAATGCCCCTACTCCATTTTTCTCATAGACTACAGTGGAACACCTGGTATGGCTATTGTTCGTATAATGAATTCACACCGAGACATGTTCTAATTTTTCGTATAACGTATATCATTGTTAGTTAGGAAGATGCATCAGTACACTTAGTAACTATATAACACGTAGGCTCTACAATTGCTCCAACAGAAAGTTCCATAATGATGTGAACTTCACCAAAACAAAATTGGTTAGGGTTGGATGGCATAAGCCCAGTGATTGTGAGAAAATGTTTTTTTGCATGCTACATCTAGCAACAAGTTTAACATGTAACTTATCCCAATACCTTTCAAATGGTGAGATAGAGATTAGGGCCAATACTAAATACTAATTCGCAAGGGCAATCCAAAAAGTTCAACATCTCTTGAGATTAGGAACCAAGTTTGTTGTTCATGATGGGTGATCCATAAAATTTTGGTTGGATGTGTGGTGTAATGATAAACCTTTGTGTGATACTTTCCCGTGACTATTTGCAATTTCAAAACATCGCGATGCTTGGGTAGAAAACACATTCAACACCGGGGCATGGTGCCCTACATTCCAGAGGACTTTTGGAGAGAATGAAATGAATGAATGGCACAACCTTAGGGAAAAACTGTATGACTATCGCTTGTCCAATGGGAATGACGAGATTACTTGGAAACTTGAGCCATCCAGACAATTCTCCATAGACATGCTTTATAAGGAGATTTTTAAAGCAGCCCCGAGAATTAATCTGTCCGGGATTTGGGGCTAGGATACCAACAAATATCAAGATCTTGTGGCAAGTGGCCCGGAATCGGTTCCTATTGGCGATCAAGTCTATAAAGCGTCATGGCCCCATGGACGCTTTATGTGCATGGTGTGGGATGGAAGATGACTGCAATCATATCCTTTTTACATGTATTACGATGCGGTCCGCATGGAGCTGTGTGAGCGAGGCATCGAGATGCTCGTGGAATCCCGTTGGTTTTGGTGATGTGCTTCGATTACTTAACCATACCCAAGGGAGGGACAATAGAATAGCATGGGCTGGCTTTGCCGCGCTTTCCTGGGCACCTCACATAATAATGTTCTTATAGAGGGTCAAGTGTTCAAGCATACGGCTGATCCTATCTATAGAAATGTGGTTATGTTACAACTTAGGAGACCCTTAGAGAGGCGCCGGGATCGTGCACAATTTGGTGCCTTCACTAATTACCGCAAGCCCTCTGGTCGACATTATGTCAAATTGTCGCAAGCTAGGGTGGCGGCTGATCCGTATCATCCTATCCTTATAGCGTTATATCATCATTAGCTTAGTGTTTGCGTTGCTCGATGTGTCATTGTTGGCCTTGTATCAAAACCTTTACTTTTGCACGTCGCTTGTAGCATGTCTCTTTCCGTACCTTTCTTATGTTAAACCTTGTAAGGGCCTTAGAAGGCCAGGCAATCGCCTTGTTTCTAAAAACATGTAACTTATCCCATTACCAAAGAGAAGAGCCTCTATGTTGAGTGAGGATATTTCAATATGAACTGAACCACCATCACGTCTATTCAACTGTGTGGAGTAATGCACTGATATGTCAGTTGGATGCCATTCTAAAACCTTTAATTTCATCATGCATGAACATATCGAAATCCACTTAAAGATGGGGTCAGCTACAGTGTGATCATGGGCCAAAAAAGAGAAGATCTTGGAACGAGTCGGTATAAGTACGGGTCGCCGGTGGAGGAACCTGGGTTCGATCGGCCGGGAAGGGACCGAAACAGGGGTGTCGTTGCGCTTGTGCTGGGGGCAGGCTGGACCGGGAAATGGGCTAGCAGGCTAGAGCACGAGAGTATAAGGTAGTAGGTTGAGATCCGGCTTGAGTTAAGACAAGAGAAAACGTTGCCGTTGCAAGTAGGTGTAATGATACAAGAAGAATCGTAGGAGATTTGTATTTGAGTCTTTTTTTTACAAAAAACCATGAGTGGGAGGGCGTGGGCGCACAGTCGTGCAACCTATCGCACGGATGGTCGCACACAGTGGCCACAGGCAAACCCCGTTTGGAAATTACATAGCGTGCATGATTCATTTAATGGTGACATGAGCAGGGACACACTTAAAAGCAATATAATAGAGATATACGGTGATGCTGTGATATTTATACACAGAAAAAGTTATAGACAGCTGTTGATGAACATTGAATGGTGAGATTCAGTGGAAGAGCATGAGCAAGTTCTTCATAATATTACTCTTGTGTAGCCATGAAACACGAAGTCCCCAACGGTGACAAAGACCTGGCCTTCTCCTTCTTAAGCTCTGGTCACCAAGCCCACCTCCCCTCCCCCCAAGGTGGATTGAAGCACCAGCTCATGTGCTCTCACATCAACCATAAAACGGAATAAAATAGGTAAAACATTGATTTTAAAAAAACTATTTTTTAAATGAACATGGACTTGTCTCTAACTTTTTTTGTCGGGTACTTGTCTTCTAACTGCATCCATATTTTTACAGAGAGTTGTGTGCAAGAAAACAAAATTGAGTGATCTAAATTGCTTTTCTTCAACCTGTAAATAAGATTAAAAAAGCTATAAAATTTGTTTTCCTTTAGACCATCATGCATGCTTTTCTCGACGAAAATTTTCGCAAGCAATTAAGGCACCCTAATATCTTCTTTAAGAAAACGACAATGCTATTTTCCTGTCGACTGGTGGTTTGCAACAGGCACCAGTCTCGCACGTGGAAAAGAAAAAAAGGGGCGCTAGCAAGAATTGAACATAGAACCTGTTGGTTGAGGCCATAGCACGCTACCAACTGAGCTAACTCTCTCTTCTGGTTTTACATGAAGATTACATGTTTTATACCTTATTAAATGAGTGGAAAGAAAAAACAACTCGATCCGTTTCTCTCAGGCAACAAAATCGGGAACTTGTGTGTAAAATAGCATGGTATTTGACGCGTGCAGACCTAGTAAATTATGATGCAAAGACCGTGATAACTTATGGGTAAATAGCACGATTATGCATCGTAGATCTGATAATTTACATACAAATACCATTGGTAATTTTGACCCGGAAAAAAAATATTGAAACATATCCTGATAATTTTTGTCTAAACAACAGGATAATATACACATCAATTTTGTGTAAATAACACAGTAATTTACGCACGATCTGACAATATAACAAACAACCGTGGTCACACAATAGAGCCGGTAACTTTTGATTGGGGAAAATTTTAGTGGAAAAACAAACCCCGGCAACTTTTATGTAAATATGATAGTAATATACGCACAATAGAGCCGATAACTCACATACAAGCACTACGGTAATTATTTTAACCCCCAGAATAAAAGTTTTTGAAAACAATACCCCCTGTAACTTTTGTGCAAATATCATGGTAATATAAGAAAAACAAAGATGATAACTCGCGTACAAGCACCATGGTAACCTTTCTACCAAAAAATGTTAAATAATCTAGTCCGGTAACTTGTATGTAAATAACATGATAATATAGACACAACAAAGTTGATAACTCACTTACAAACACTTTGGTAACCATTTGACCCAAGGAAAAATATTGAAAAACAACCCCTGATAAATTCTGTGTAAATAGGATGATAGTATGCACACAACAAAGCTGATAACCCACGTACGAACACCGTGATAACTCCTTTGACCCTAGGATAAAAGTTGTTGGAAATCATACCCCGGTAATTTCTGAGCAAATAACATGATAATATACACACAACATAGCTGATAACTTTGACTTTGAAAATTTCTCTTTGGAAAACATTACTCCGATAACTATTGTGTAAATGACATGATAATTTATGCACTGCAGCCCTGATAATTTAGATACAAATATGACGGTAATATTTCAACGCGAGGGGTGCTTGAAACGTACACTGATAATTACTATGTAAATGGTATGATAATTTATGTACTGCTGTCATGATAACTTATGTATAAACACCACAATAACATTGATCTAAATTTTTTTTTAAAAAAACATCTCTTGATAATTTTTGTGTAAATATCATGATTTTTACAGACTGCAAAGTATAATAATTTTGTACAACACCCAGCCGTATCTCTGACCCAAGAAAAAATATTTAAAATATTTCCCGGTAACTTATGTATAAAAAGCATGATAAGTTACGTACCAAATGGTTGATAACTTTTGTACCCTCGTAAAAAAAATTGTGTACCCTGGCATGCTTTTTACAACGAAGTTACCATGATATGTAAACAATTTTTACTACGTTAAAATTATCATGATGTTGTAAATATTAACAGAGCAGCCGGCCCATCTATATCGGATAAAAAATATAAAAGGAAAGAAAGAAAAATTATTCGTTTCCAGGCCATGCTAAGACTAGTTCAATCTAGACCAGATGGTTGCAAACTACTGTGGTCTACGACCACACAGTCCTTAAGAAAAAGGCAACCTAATGCTTTCATTGTACAAAAAGAAATCTCTTACGTACGATTTATTATGAGTTCTATTCTACTGTTCATAGACAAAAGCAGAGTTCGAACTCCGTACCTCTGGCACGGTGACGAGCAAAAGCATCTCATCTAACCAACCAAGCCACGGACCGACTTTGTCAAAACCCTAGAAAAAACAACTTTAAACATAAGAAGATTTCTTCCTGCCTATTTAAGTCTTCCGCAGGCGAGCGCCGTTGCCTCTCCCTCCTAGCGCCACCCATCCCGCTCCCACACCCCGCCGGCGGCAACGAATTCCGGCGAAAAGCGAGGCGAGGCCGGACCGATGGCGGCGGCGCGGTGGCAGCAGCAGGGAGTGGAGCAGAAGCTGCGGTGCACCAAGGAGCCGTACGTCGATGACGACGGCACTCACAGGATGTATGTATGCGCTCAAACGAAAAGCATCGATGCTTCTGCTGCTTCATTGCTCGCTTCAATTTCGCTCCCGCCGCCCAAGTTTATTTCACTGACGGATTTTTTTTCCTTCGCTTCTGCTGCTGCTGTTTGTTCGGATGATTTGCGTCTCTTCAGAAAGAGCATGCGGTTCAGCACCTTCTCCGGCGGCGAGGTCCGCAAGTCCGCGGAGGCGCAGGTCTATAACGGCTGGATCTACGACGAGAACCGCAAGCCCGCTCCCGGTGGTTTGCTCGACACGCGGATGGTATGCTGCTGCTCTTTCCGCTACTTGAGGCGTCTGTCTGTGTGTGTGCGTGTGTGTATTTATGTTGCTTCGCACGATGAAGGGCATGCCACCTTTTGTGTCCGTGTACAATGTAGTAGATGCTTTACTGATTGATTAATCCGTGGCATATATGTTACAGCTGTAATTCGAGGACCAGCTCTTGTTATGACATTTCACGCAATATTTTGCAATAAAAGGTCTTCTTTTTTGAAATACGAAATGCTCGCGAGATTTACCCTCAGAAATTTCAGGGAGCTGCAAACAGAGTATATATATGGGGAGTGCCACTGTGGGGTGTTTATGAACAATTCAGTATTATATATACTGCTTCCTGTAAAAGGAATGCCACTGTCGTGTGTGTAAGTGTGTGTGTGTGTGTGTGCGCGCGCGCGCAATGCATTGTCTTACTGAACAATACTTGTGTGGCATATAGTTGTAATTAGAGGGCTGGGCTCTTGTTATGACATTTCAACAAACTTTTGCCAGCCGATGAATAAAAGTCTTCCTTGTGAAATAAATAAATTAATGGAAGATTTCTGTGATTTATCGTGACAAATTCCAGGGAGCTGCAAACAAGTTTGGGGAGTGCACAACTTGCCACTGTTCATACACCGAGTGCCCGGGCCATTTCGGTTACATCAAGCTTGCGCTTCCGGTTTTCAACGTCGGATTCTTCAACAGTATCGTCAATGTGTTGAAGTGCATCTGCAAGGCAATATTTTTTTTTCCTTATATGTCTGATCATGTTTTAGTTTTTCCTTTCCTTAACCGCTCCTCACGATGCGATGCCTTTGCAGCGCTGTAGCAGGATTCTTCTTTCGGAGAAAGACCGCCAAGAGTTTCTGAAGAGGATGAGGAATCCGAGAGCAGAAGTACTGCACAAAAGCGCCATCCTGAGTAAAGTTAGGGACAAATGCAGGCCATGCCGTTGCCACTGGTGTGGATACATGAATGGCAAGCTTACTTCTAATGCTTCTTTTCTCTTTCTTATGTTGCTCATCACTTGAAAAATACTACATAGTAATAAACACCTGACCTGACAGCTTTTAGAACTTAACCTTCTATTTTGGGTTGCATGTACAGGTGTAACTAAGAAGGGGCCAAAGGACAGAGGAGGCTTGGCAATTGTTCATGACTGTAGCAAAACTTTGGACAGAACTACAGAAGAACTTCGGTCTGCTTTATCACACAAGAAAGAAAAACTATCCTTTCCTTCTGTTCACCTGTTAGACCCTCAAACCGTCCTCGCTCTTTTCACAAGAATGACTGATGAGGTAGATGTCGTTTGTCATCTTACAGGAGTACTTGTTACTTTGGGTAGAGTGCCAGAATTTATCAGACATAGGTTTGCTTGATTGGTTTTGTCATACTTCAGGACTGTGAACTGCTGAACCTTGGTGACAGACCCGAGAAACTTATCATTACAGAGATTGCAGTGCCACCTGTGCCCATCCGTCCTTCTGTTTTTGTTGGTGGTAATAAAATGAGGTTTGTTCTCTATAATGGTGTTTCAGCATAGCCATCTGCCATTGAAATGCCACTAATGTCTTTGCTTCTTGCAGCAATGAAGATAGTATTACTTGCATATTGAAGAACATTGTTGCTGCAAATCACATAATTAAAGAGGCCCTTAAAAAAGGCGAATCACCCGTGAATTGCTTTGTAAGATAACTCAGAGCACTTCATTTGTTTTTCCAACATTCTCTTATATTTAGTACCATTTCTCTTTCACCTCTGTGGAGGGCGACTTTTGTGTTCTCTGATTCTTTTTATTGCATTTTAGAAATTAGTCTGCCTCTATATGTTCATGTAATTCCCAAGGCCAGAACCGATTGTTTTGTTGGATAAGGTGATGAGTTCTGCTCCAGACGCAGTATAAATTTTTGTTGGCTTTATGGAAGTGCTGTTCAGGATATAATGATTTAAGGTCGGAATTAAAAATAGATAAACTGTGCCAACAAAATTGAATATTTTGAAGTAATAACTTCAACTGTGACTTATGACTTCCTATTGTTCTTCCTGTATTGGCTGGTGGCTGGTGCATCATCAACTTCATCATTCAAAGGGTTCTGTAATTCTGATATTTTAATTGATAATTTATTCTACACATTCTTAATTAGATTATACAAACTCAGAACTAAATTTGATGTTGTATTTATGCTGCACAATTTGCATTGTGATCATTTTCACTCTGGTAGTACTTATATTTGACTTGTTTGGGACTAAAGGCTTTGTTGTTGTTGTAGTACTTGTCATATTCGACTAATCAAAGTGCCATTTCTGTTGAGATACTCTAACACAATTTTCTTCTTTGTTTCTTTGAAGAATTCCTGGCAAGACCTTCAACTCCAAGTTATTGAATATATCAATAGTGATGCCCCCTCTCTTTCTGATTCACAACATCGTGGCCTTATGCAAAGACTCAAAGGAAAGACAGGTCGATTTCGTGGGAACTTGTCTGGGAAACGTACTGAGTACACTGGGAGGACTGTCATATCTCCTGACCCAAATTTGAGAATAACAGAGGTACTTGTCCATAGGTTACCGATGTTCTTTATTTTCACTCTCCAATTTATTTTTCATGTCATTATTAATTCGAACTTCAGGTGGCTATTCCTGTTTTGATGGCTCAAGTCTTGACTTATCCTGAACGAGTTTCATATCATAACATAGAGAAGCTGCGTCAATGTATACGAAATGGACCAAATAAACATCCAGGGGCAAATTTTATAATACAATCTGATGGAACAAAGCTGTAAGTTGTATTTATCTTTTGAAATTCTGCTTCTTTTCAGCAAGCAGCTCTCATATTTTGCCCTGGACTACATTTAGGCACTTAAAGTACGCTGATAGAAGGATCGCCGCACAGGATTTGAAGTATGGCTGTATAGTCGAAAGGCATTTAGAAGATGGAGACATTGTCCTCTTCAACAGACAACCAAGCTTGCATAGAATGTCAATTATGTCACACAGGGTACAAATTGCTCCATACCACACCATTACTTGCTGTACTAAATAATTTGTCTAACGTTTGATTACTTTTGTATTTAAATATAGGCAAGGATAATGCCCTGGAGAACATTGCGATTTAATGAGTCTGTTTGTAACCCTTATAATGCTGATTTTGATGGAGATGAGATGAATTTGCATGTCCCACAGACAGAGGAAGCTCGTACTGAAGCATTTATGCTTATGGGGGTAGCACTTGCTAACTCTTCTTTGCTACAGTATAACGTTTTTGTTATGCGTTTTGACGCACAAAACTGATTTGGTAACGAATATTTATTTTTGCAGGTTCAGAATAATCTATGTACCCCTAAGAATGGAGAAATACTGGTTGCTTCCACACAAGACTTTTTGACCTCGTCTTTTCTTGTCACAAGGAAAGATACCTTCTATGACAGGTCTTATTTTACTCTCTTGTGTTCATATCTTGGTGATGCAATGGAAAATATTGATCTCCCAACACCAGCCTTAATTAAGGTAATATTTTTCAACTAGTTTTCTGTGGCTACATGTTATCCTCAATTTAATGTTCCTTGCAAATATAAAATTGGTTCTGTAAAAAGTTGTGTTATTTGTGCTTCTACTGGTATAGTTAAGAGGAGATGCATGGTAAATTAGCTAGTACTCCCTCCATTCCCAAATATAAGTCTTTTTAGAGATTTCAATATAAACTACATACGGATGTATATAGACATATTTTAGAGTGTAGATTCACTCATTTTGCTCCGTATGTAGTCTACATTGAAATCTCTAAAAAAAAGACTTGTATTTAGGAACGGAGGGACTAGAATATTGTTGAACACTAATATGGGAAATGAGACATCCTTGCTCGTGTTCTCTCTACGTATAATAACTAGTTTGGTCTATTAGACGAGTTACTTATGCCTTTTTCTATGCATAACAAAAGACAACAAATAAAGCATCAATTTTATTTTCCTCTGTGAAATCCTTTTTTTCTGTATGCACGTTTGTCCATGTTAGCCTTCTTACTAAAGTTTTGACCCGTGTATGAATATTGATCATGTTCTTTTTTTGCAGCCTATTGAGCTTTGGACTGGCAAGCAATTATTCAGTGTGTTAGTACGTCCTAACGTGTGTACAAAGGTGTTTCTGAATCTTACCGTTGAAGAGAAAATTTACATGAAACTTAAAGAACGTGACAAAAAGGCGATTACAGTTTTGGAAGAGACAATGTGTCCGAATGATGGTTTTGTCTATTTCCAAAACAGTGAGCTTTTATGTGGGCAAGTTGGCAAGAAAACTTTGGGTGAGAAAACTAGGGATGACTTTGCTAAAAATGCCTTTAATAAGCTTATTTTGATTTCTGATTTCATGATTCATATCAAGAACCATTGCTTGGGGTTAGAAGGCTGAACTTCTATTGTAGTTTTGTATGCATCTTCCTAGTAAACTGTTCAGTTTGTACAGCAGTATTTTTCTTTTTCATTATAATGCTTCGTTTTGTTTTTACATTCCTGAGTAATGAAAATTGTTTATATGATGTTGGAATGGTAGTATTTCATCTTGCCTCATAAAATGAGCTATGCACGTCCCACCTTACCGTGCTCCACTTCTGTAGAAAGTTAAACTTAACTCTGCAATGATAATCTTTTGCCTATTATAAATTAAATTGGGAAATTCTATGCAAAGTTTAGGATGTAATTTGAGAAAGCTTAGGATGTGTCCTTGAACGTTCCAAGATATCTGCTGTCTGAAACAAAAGTATTGCATGATTGTATCTGAGCACCGATTTTATTATGGGTATCCTGTATCCAGGTATTCTAGATTCTAGAACAATGTGTACTGCGTTCTTTCAATGTTTCCTTCTTCTTTAGGATTTTGTTACTCAGCCATAACTCTGACATGTTTTAGTCTCATGAAGCACTCCATAAACCACATATAATAAATGATGTGCCTTTTGTCATCCATGTTTGTAAAAATCACTGTTTGCCTTTGCTAATTTTTGAAATTTCATATTTCTTGACATATTTCGAAGCAAACAAAGTTTTATTGGATTTTTATCTGCAGGTAATGGGAATAACGAGGGCATGTTCTCTGTTCTTATAAGAGATTATAATTCTCATGCTGCAGCGAGCTGTATGAACCGTTTGGCAAAGTTTAGGTGAGGCTTGTTTTATGATTTGCGCAATTCACGTTATCTTTCTTGGTTATTAGTAATTTGGTGCCGTGTCGGTAATTTGCTCCTGTGTGCTTGCTCAGTTGAAGAATGAGAATGGAAGGACATCCTCTTTACTCCCTTTTAGCATGTAAACTTGTCTCTCTTTTTTTTGAAAAGGAGGTTGAAACCCCTGGCCTCTGCATCCAAGGATGCATGCAGCCATCATTATTAAATTATTCAACAGAACCTGACAGAACAAGTAAATGCCATCTTCCCGGTGACCTTTGTTGCTACACCTACAAGCTTGATGATGTGCCTTGACCTGGCACCAACATACACCATCCAACCTGATGGCCTCGCCAAGCCGCCCCACGGAGAGCTGAGAGCACCAACCGGTCTAGCAGTCCCTTAGCATGCACCACATGCACACTCTCTAGAATCCGCCACCATCATCTTCCGCCGTCCCATCTTCAGGAGGGATCAATGAATTGACCTTGCCAGGCCCAACTGCCGTCGACGCCACCGTGACGCCAGACAGCGTCACCACCCTGCGCGCGTACATCCACATGCACCCATCGCCGAGACTCAACTGCGCCACGCCACCAAGACCCACCATCGTCGATGCAGTAGATGCAACACCACACCGCCAAGACCCACCATCGTCGATGCGGTACATGCAACACCACTCCACCTTTGGCCCGTCCAGCCAGCCCCTCCTCCAAAACGATGCCCCCAGGAGGGAAAACGGCATCAAAGGCGCCGACATCATCCGATCCGCGAGACCCAAATCTAGGCTTTCCCCTGGAGCAGCCCGAGCGAGCCGACACAGACTGCAACGATGACGCCTCGACAAGGAAACGATGTCAAAGACGGCGCCATCGTCCGCCATGGCCGAAGTTGGGATGATTTTCACCGGCATCTGCGCTACCCCGACTCCGCAGCTGACTGGATCCGCGCGGAGCTGCGCCGTGAAGATGCACGCAGCCGCCGAAACGCCGGTAGAGGACCTCCAGCCGCACCTCACCGACCCCTCCACATGCCGCTGGCTGCCCAAGGGCCACACCGCGACGGATCTGAACGGGGGTCAGATCCACGACCACCAACCATCGCTTGAGAGCATGCCGGAGACCGATCCCCATTGACCCTCCGGCCATGGAGGCGACCGCCGCCACCACCCGACCAGGGGACTCCATCCTGGCTGCCGCGCTCGATGGTCCAGCGACGACCACCCGCCTCCCCGGAGAGGATCTCCCCTAGGTGGCCCATGAGACCGCCGGGGATCAGATCCCCGCTGTCCCCATCATGGGCGCCGCGTGGCCTTGTCCGGCAGTGGCCTCCGGGAGCAGCGAGAAGAGAGAGATCGGGAGGAGGGTGGCGGTGGATGGCTAGGGTTGCCGAAAGAGGAGGATCATGGGAGGAAGATGAGATTGGGACTAGGGTGGTGGCGGCCGTCTAGGTTTAAATTGTCTATCCATCTTATGTCTCTCATTTAGGTTTCAGAGATCATGCTTGGTGAAAACTTTGCCCAATTTCTTCATATATCTGTCTGTCGCATTGGATTTTTTCAGGCTCTGAATTATAGTTGCTCACTTGCATCATGTTGCCAAATTGTTGTGTGAAATTAGTACGTGAAATTTTTTCCGCTAAAAGAAGTGCATGAAATATTGTTCTGATCCATGTTGCATACTTTTGATCTGCAGTGCAAGATTTATAGGGAATCATGGTTTCTCAATTGGTGTGGATGATGTCCAACCAGGAGAAAGTTTAAATCAGAAAAAGAAAATAACAATAGATGAAGGGTATCAAAAATGTCATGAGCTTATTGCCCTATATTCCAAAGGTGACCTCATACCGCAACCTGGTTGCAACAGAGCTCAAACACTGGAGTCTCAGATATCTTGCGTTCTAAATAAGTTAAGAGAAACGGCCGGAGATGTAAGTTAACCAATTAGCTTGTGAATTATCTCTAATCTGAATCTGATCCTTCTTGTTGTATTGCATATAGTATACAAGTTCAAAATATAGTGTCAGTGAAGGATGACCACCTTTCAGTCTTATATTTGTTATTATTTTTTTTGGAAATTATCACAACTTTGCACATGCCAGACCTGAAATGCAAACCTCCCTTTTTTATGTGAAAACCTCTTCTCTGTTTCTCTTTTTTATTAGCTAGGCAGTTTTGTTTTTCCTTGCTTGCTTTTTAGCTTCTATATTAGGTTGCAGTCACTTGGGTGGCTTTGTGTACTTGTCGCCTTATTTAGCGGTTTCTCTAATACAAGGTAACACACTTTAGGTGCGTTTTAGAGATAAATCATCACAACTATGCAGTGCTACTGAGTTAAATTCTCTTGTATGGATGTTCTCATCACTAGCCTAATTTTAAGTGAGGTTTTAGTGAAAAAATTGATGGATGCATTAATTCAGTCCAGTGACTAACCCAGTATGTCCATTTTGACTTCACCATATTTGTGTATTTAATGACTTGAGTTGGAACTTATTTTTCAGGATTGTATGAGTACGCTTCACTGGAGGAACAGCCCATTGATTATGTCTCAGTGTGGATCTAAAGGTTCTCCAATCAATATTAGTCAGATGGTCGTATGTGTTGGACAACAATCAGTTGGAGGACGCCGTGCCCCAAACGGTTTTATAGATCGAACACTTCCCCACTTTCCTATTAATTCAAAGACCCCTGCGGTAAGAACAGGTCTTAAAAATATGATTTGCTCAGGCAACCATTTCTTGTGTTGGTGCTATCCCTAATTCTGTTCCAATAAAAGAAGTTCTGCAAATGTTATGAACATACTGAAACCACACATTGCCATCTTATGATGTTTTGTAACTTCCTAACTGAGCACTCCTTAATTGATATCAGCTCCTTTTCATATGCCATATACTACGACACCTAAAACTTTGCTGAATGGTGAGGCAAAAGTTTGCTTGTTGAGGATGGTCCGTCAATTCTATTGCGTGATATCTTGTAGAAAGGGGACTTTCAGGTCAAGATTAACTCAGTACCATCACTAAGATGCATAAATTTAATTATCCCATTGACTTTGAGGATGATTTGTATGGCGTGTACATTGGATGATATTTTCGAACATTGTGTTCTCTCGGTGATATTGATAAATGTTGCCATTTCTTTTGCAGTACTGGTAGTATTTTCCATATGCTATTACATGATAGGACATTTTTAGTCTGGATTATTCTACATGTATATTTATCTCTGTTGCAGTAACTTTTTACCTTCTACTCGTGGCAACTGCCATTTTATTTGTATTCAGTGCATGAAATCAGCATATTTTTACGGTGCAAATGTATGTTCTCTTCGAGTAAGTTATTATTTTGTCATTCATTGGCAGGCGAAAGGTTTTGTTGCTAATTCCTTCTATACGGGTTTGACTGCCACTGAGTTTTTCTTCCATACGATGGGTGGACGAGAAGGTCTTGTTGACACAGCGGTATGTCTAAACTTAGACCATCTTTTGGTTCCATACTTGCATGTCTCCATATTTGTACTATATCTCAGCTTCTTTTGTTATGGTTGCTTAAATTTGTACTTTGCTGTGTATGCTACCCAGTTCAATCAACGGTGTTTCTATTTTTTTTAGAAAAGGGGTTTTACCCCAGCCTCTACATCAGAAAGATGCATATGGCTCATATTATTAAAAATAATCCAGTAACAAAGTCTCCAAGTCTCAAAGTAAGAAATAAAACAAAACGCTCATAAGAGCCAGATCGAAAGCCACAACCGGCTGGCAAATAAAATAGGAGCACTACATGCCTATCCTATTACATGACCGCCATCCAAACCGGTTGAAAATAACCCGAGCTACCATCTCCCATCGGGTAGACGCAGTAGCCCAACGCCCCCTGGCCTCCGTCGGAGTGAGTAGCGACCACATACGGATCAATATTGTGGCCCTGAAGATAACCTGCAAAAAGTGAATGTTCGATGTTCTGTTAAAAACCAAATCATTTCTACAGTCCCATACTGCCCATAATAATGCACAAGCTCCAACACGGATGTGCCTCGCTATATCTGAGTCAACCCCATCAAGCCACGTTCCAAATAACATGTTGATGGAGGAAGGTGGAGTAATATTAAAAGCAATATGAATCGAACGCCAAAGAATCTTAGCCAGCGGACAATCTAGAAAGAGGTGTCTGATAGTTTCGTTATGATCACAAAAACTACACCTAGCAGAACCCACCCAATTGCGTTTTGCCAGATTATCCTTTGTCAAGATGACTTGTTTATGTACGAACCACATAAACACTTCGATTCGCAAAGGCACCTTTGATTTCCAGACATGCTTCGAAGAGGGAATGACACTAGAGTTTATGACATCTAGGTACATGGATTTGACCGAAAACACACCGTCCTTAGTCAGTTTCCAATACAACCTATCTGGCTGTTGAGACAACTGGACATCCATCAACCTTCTTACGAGATGAAGCCAAGCCTCCCAACGATCACCAACTAGCATCCTCCGAAAACTAATATTGAGCCAGCCTAGTAGCTTGGCTTGCGCAAGTTAAACAAGACCAGAGCATAACCCTTCAGCATACTAGTTATTTCTGTAAGGCCTTGTTCCGTTGAGGAGGTCTGGCAGGGATTAAGAGGGATTAGCAGGGAATATAGCTCAATTCCCTGCCAATCACTCTTAATCCATGGCAATCCCTGCCAAACCAAACAAGGCCGAAAGGGAAAGAGCAATCCCAGGCTCCCAGCCCCCTCAAAAGGCAAGGTGGAGCTAAGAAGATAAAACATCAAAGTACTGACACCTAGAGTAGCATATGCATCAACACATTGTTTTCAATATCAGCAACCTACCAACTACAACAGACTTCAACAACTACTTGATAGCTCTATAGACTACCAATGTGAAATTATAATACTATACAAATTTGAGGGCCTATTTACAGACATGGATGAACTACAACATGTTCTATTTTATACTAACTTGGTGTGGATCCACTATGACATGTCTTATTTTGTCTTGACTGAGGTGGAAACGGTTGGGCACTGCCAGTTGACTCCATGTGCCTACTGGATATTCGAATCATTTTTGGATTTAATTTTTAGTAGGTATCTGATATATTTTTGTTCCTTCCATTTGAACTTGTAATCATAGGTCAAAACAGCAGAAACTGGATATATGTCCCGCAGACTAATGAAGGGTCTTGAAGATCTCTCAGTTTTCTATGATCAGACTGTCCGTAACGCTAGCGGCGGTATTGTTCAGTTTGTCTATGGAGATGATGGTTTGGATCCTGTAAAGATGGAAGGAAAAGGTGGCCATCCCTTAAATTTGGACCAATTGTTTATGAAAGTCATGGTTAGTTTTTACATGCATGAATACTTTTCTTAGGTTGACGAAGATAAGGGTTCCTTGTGCCCTGAGCATTGATTAGTGACGATTTAACTTTGTAGGCCACATGTCCGCAAAAGGGACATGACATGTTATCTCCAGAGTTAATCTTGCAAATGTTTAATGATAAGCTCTCCGGACAAGATGCCTCATCTGGTGGTTGCAGCAATAAGTTCAAGGAGATGTTAACAAAATTCTTTGAGGACCGCATCAAAATGCTTAGAAGCACAAGGAGAGCACTTCAACTAGATGAAGATCGTGTGGGAAAGAGGGACTCTAGCATTGAAGAACGCGTTGCTGCTGATATTTCTGGCATATCCGCGAAACAACTGCAGGTGTGTATAAAATCTTGCATGTACTAAATCATCATTATTTTACCAAACTACTGTAATCTTAGGCACCTCGTCTATGAGTGTGTATCTGCAAGATGAAACTAGATTTTGTGCAGTAAAATGTTCCATCAAGTAGATCATTGTGGTAACGTTATATTGTTGTGGTTATTTAGTGACTGCATTTCTAAAAACATCAAAGCCCTTCGAAAGTCGGCCTGTGGGTAGAAACAGTGTCATTTTAGTAAGGTCATGGTCTATAGTTATCTGGACATCTGCAACCTTTAGGACTATCTCATTCTAGTCCACCAAATGCTGACCCGTGAGAGCCCTACAAAAGTTGGCCTGTGGGTAGAAACAGTGGGATTCTTGTGACGAACAATTTTAAATAACAGGGGGTACAAGGATTTTTTTATCAGTTTGTTTGTGCATTTTGTTCTTCTGTGGTTCTGTTATATGATTATTATATCCTTTTTCCTGGCACAGGTTTTCTTGGACACTTGCTTATCTCGTTATCACTCAAAAATAATCGAAGCAGGAGCATCAATTGGGGCAATTGGGGCACAGAGTATTGGAGAGCCTGGGACCCAAATGACATTGAAAACCTTCCATTTTGCAGGAGTAGCTAGCATGAGTATCCTTCCTTTACTTTGTATTTAAATAAAATGGTATAGTTATTGTGGCATGTTAATGATGCGGAAGTGGGAGCTTTACTTTATTTTCTGAAGCTTACCATTAGGGGGTTACTACGATTTATTATCTAATGAGTATTATAAAAACTTTCAACAATACATACAAAGAAGTTTTATGGTTACTGTTGATATGGTAGGGCTCTATGGCATGCAAAATGCAGAAATATATAAATATAGGATGTTGAATCTACTACAGTTAAATATCCTTCGAAGATTTGTTTCCTTAAGACCAACAAAGATGTTACTCTTGGAGTTCCCCGCATTAAGGAAATCATCAATGCTGTTAAAAAGATAAGCACACCAATTATCACTACAGAACTTTTGTCTGAGAAGGATGAGTTGTTTGCAGCCAAAGTGAAATGTTCTATTGAGAAAGTAGTGCTGGGTGAGGTAAGTTATTCAGATAATTATATTCTTTTGAATTTGTATATGCACTTAAAGGAAGTTTGTCTGCTTGCATTCTGCTCTGGGTATTGTTAAACATGTCACATAAATTTAGTGCATTCATAGTTACAAAGAATTGTCATTTGACATTCTCCCAGGCATTAAATATACATGCACTTCATCAATCTTTGGGCTTTGCTATGGATGCAAAATCTTTGATTTGTTGTTTGTCTGTCTAGCAAATATATTATAGAAATATTCGTGTATATGTTTTATGAGCTATGTTAGATATTGTTTACAATTTGTTAGTGTAATATAACAAGTCTTGCATTATTATGTGTGAATTTGCATATGTTGGTTTGAGCCGAGATTGTTGAATGTTTTAGTTTGTGTAGTCGTGTGTTTTTGCATCTATATCTATACCAATATAAAAAGACCCAAAGGGGCAGATCCAAACCATCTCGACCGTCAAATCATGTTATCTAGCGGTTCAAATTGCTCCAATGTTGAGCACCAAACACGTTTAACGCTCTAATTACCCACCACTACCATTGGTTATAAACACGTTTGACTCAACGCTATCCCATAAAATCTGCCATGTAATTGATATCCTACCATTCCCGCGAAAAAGGTAATTGATATCTTACCAAATACCAACGTCCAACAAATATATCTTACTTGATATAACATGCAACTAATATCCTACCTAATATAAACGTGCATTCCACGTACATTATTACTAGTGAACTCAAAATGAAGAAAAAGATCTGAGCATGCTATCTGTCCAGTGCATTTTTTTCTTTAGGAGGTTGAAACCCCGGCATAACAGATAACTTTTGTAAGGAAGCACTCAACTTGACGAGAAACCTTGTTATGTTCAACAGGTGGCAGCATCCATAAAGATTGTCTTAAAATCAAACCAGCCATATTTGGTTGTTGAACTCGATATGCAGCGCACAGAAGGGTACATGGGAATCTCTTCTGACACTGTGCATCTGTCAATACTAAATGATCCAAAAATAAAGTTAAAGTCTGAGGTATGAACAAAGCTCTGTGGTTGCGTAATGTGCCCAACATTTTCTCTGCAATATTATTTATGATATATCATTTTTACAGCATGTTCGTGTCATCGATGAAGCCAAGTTGAGAATATATCCAACTGGAACAGATAAGTCCAAACTTCAGCTTGAGCTGCACAATCTCAAATCGATGCTTCCAAAACTGATTGTGAAGGTAAATGAAGTATGCTGTAAATTTTCTTCCATTATGATGGTGTAGCTGACCTTCCTATTGATCAATTCAGGGCATTCCAACTGTTGAAAGAGCTGTTGTCAACCCTATTTTAAGACGCGATGGAACTTTCGACAGATACAACCTGTTGGTTGAAGGGTAAGGATTCTTATTTATTGCTTTTGTAAATTGTTTATAAGCCTCACTGTGACTTCTTCAATGCTAGTCTGAGATGAAATATGCCAATCAAACAATTTTTTATTGCAGAACAAACCTCATGAAAGTTTTGGGTACTCCTGGAGTTGATGCTAAGAGAACAAAAAGTAACCACATCTTGGAAGTGAACAAAACACTTGGAATTGAAGCTGCAAGAAGATCTATCATTGATGAAATTCGGTATACCTTTGAAAATAACAACATGATGATTGATCTGAGACATATGATGCTTCTGGCAGACCTGATGTCATACAAGGTTTGTAGAGTCATCTTACACTGATCACCATTTTAATCATCCATCCATCTGCCTCGAGGCTAATTAACAACTGTGCATGTGCTGCCGGTTTCGCAGGGCGAAATTTTGGGCATCACGGCTGGCGGCATCGCGAAGATGAAAAGCAGCGTGCTGATGCTGTCTTCATTCGAGAGAGCTTCGGAGCATCTCTTCAACGCTTCGTACGCTGGACGCGAGGATCAGATAGAGGGAGTTAGTGAATGCATCATCATGGGCATACCCATGCAACTCGGCACTGGTATCCTCAAAGTCAGGCAAAGGTACGTGTAATGTATTGCCCTCAACTTTATTGTTGCAAAACAACACCTGTCTAAATTTAATTACTCCCTCTGTTTCATAATGTAAGACATTTTTTGACACTACTATTTTATTGTTCTAAACCTGTTTTGGACGGCACTGTATTTTCATTGTTATGTGATGCAATCCTTAATGAAACAGACAATTAAACACATGATTAAATGGGTGGCATTTATTTTCCTTGCAGGCTCCAGGATTTGCCTGAATTCAAGTACCAGCCTGATCCAATTATACTGTGAGATCGAAGAAGCTCGGATTTGGTGATGCATGACGTAGGACTCACTTTCTTTACAACTCGTTTGGCACCCCTCATTTCATGTGGTAGAAATGAAATGAAATCTATGTTAGGATTTCATTTGGTTGAAATGGAAATCCAATTGCAAAAAACTTCTTTGGCTGCTACAAGGATTTGTAAATTGCAATGACTCCCATATCATGATGTTTGACTGTCATTTTGGCAAGAATTGATAAACCCACACATAGTTTGGCTTCAAAAATGAGATGTATCAAGTTGCAGCACACAATCTTTCATATAAGAAGCAGCTCCATAAAGCACAAATCCACATGCTCAAATTCAATTACAACTGCAATGTCCATCTCCATAAAGCACAAAATGAAGTCTTATAGAAGAAAAACAAAGGTTCAAGACTTCAAAGTTAGTACTAAGCAAGGTTTAGAAGACAAAATACTAGAGTACAACTTGTCATCACAAGTGTATTTTTTCGATAAAGGGTGGATTTTATTGGCTCAAAAAGGACCATCAAGAGGAACAAACCCTAAGCGCACACACTCCGGCCTCTGCATAGCTAGAATGCACATAGCCAACATCAATGCATGCACACAAAAAATACGCCTGCAATAGGAGGTCATACAAGACCAAAGCTATGCATCGTCGTTACCGAATCCAACCATCAAGGCTAGAATCTAGATTTTGACCCTAAAGAATCAATCCGAGCATATTCAAGCAATGCCTTCAACAAGGTAACAACATAAAAACATCACCATTGCCAGGTATAACCAGCTCGGGCCAGACCTAGGCTTTCACCTCGGACCCGCGACCTAATGCTCGAGTAGCACCACCATCGAAGTCATCAAGTGTTGTCGCTGCTGCACCCTCCCATCTGGCCAGGAACCCGACCTCCCACCTCCTCGCTCACAAGCCAGAGAGCTAGGCCATCCCTGCCTCCAAGTGCCAGCCGAAGGAATGCCCGACCGCTGCCGCCGTCACCGGAACCTGTCGAGCTTCGCTGACTGGCGCCTCTAGCGGCGGCGAGACGGGTGGAAGGAGTGGAGGAAAGAGGGGCGGCACGAGGATTTCGCCCCCCGAGCCGCCAGGAAGGGCGACGCGGGTGGTACATTCCTTTTTTCCACGTATGAGAGCAACTACTACTACATCCGGGCTCATACGCCCGGGCGGGCTGCCCGGTCATTGTCTCGTCGTAAATTTTTAACTCGGACGGGTGCGTCAAACATGCCTCAAAACGCCCGGGCTGACCGACACCTCTCATATTCAGCTCAAATATAGAGTGGGTATGAGGGCGCCCGGGCACGTCCCTCATGTCGGACTCATGAGGGGGTCCCCCGCGGATTAGTCTGGAAACGCGGCGGTCTGACGGACGCCGCGGTGTGAACGCCGCGTGGCGCCGCTCCGGCTTGCTGCTTGAGACCAAATCCGCCTATTTAAGCGGGTCGGCGTCCCTCAACCCTAGCCCATCCACCTCCTTCCTCTCCGCGCCACCAGTCCGAGCCCATCCACCTCCTTCCTCTCCCCGCTCCGGTGCTCTTCCCACGCTCCGACGCTCCGCCATGGTCCGGAGAAAAATCACCTACTACGCAATGCTCATGTCGGGGCGCCGGTACGAGATCCAGTAGGAGATTCGGTCGAGACAAGCCGCACGCATTGCCAGCATCTCTGTCGGGCTGCCTCCGGACTCGCTGGAGCCGGAGGACGAGGAGGAGGAGCAGACGGGAAGGAGGAGGGAGAGGAGTTGGCTCCGATGGAGGTGGAGAAGGCGGAGCTGCCGGAGCAGGTGCTGCCGGGTTTCAACATGGAGTAGGCGGAGGTGGAGTTCGCCGTCGCTCAGTTGGAGGAGATGGCGGAGCAGCAGGCCATCCTGGAGTCCATCCAGGATGAGGCCTATGTGGAGGCCAACCGGGCGTTCCTCCGAAAGGAGCAGGTGGTGTCCGACGCGCTCTTCGCCGAACTCGAGGCGAAGATAGAAGAGGAGGAGACCAGAGTTGCAGCTGCCGCCCATACTGCCGGAGCATGGCATGGAGATCATAGACATCTCCGATGAGGAGTAGCTAGGTAATCGACGTAGTACATAGGTTTATTCCGTTTGCATGTCTTTGTATGGATTTAAGAATCTAGTATGAGATGTCCAGATGCAACTCATGAAATTTGAGGCGTGGCCGATCACTGCCCATGGACGGGCGCGTCCGTGAATGTTTGAGGAGCCATATTTGACATATACGACCGTAGATGCTCTCACAAATGCATTAAGGCCGATTATTTTATTAATAGTAACTAGCAATGCAGCAATTCCAAAACTAATAATGGTTGGGCCGAAATTTGATGAATAGGAAGGACGCTATGGACAGCGGCGTCTAGGCTGGTTACGAATGATGTCCACGGCTGGACGCTATGATAAACAATGTTGAGTTATGTGATTCGGTCAGGTGCTCTTATTTAACTATACTTAGAGTATTTACTCTAATAATTTTTTTCGATAAAGGGAATATACAGTATCACGAACATACAAATTACAACTAGCCTCTACAACAACGAAATGTCCTAGAGACATTACGGATGCACACAACCCATAAACAAAAATAAGAAGATGGAAAAACAAAAGATCCCGCTATAGTGATCAATTCTTAGTAAGTGTAGCACGAACCATCACCAAGACAGCACCCCGAAGTTCAAATTCTTCAAAAACAACGCCTTGAAATAGCGAATTCATGTGAGGCAAGACATCCGGGTGTGGCCGCCTTTAAATAGAGGATTCCGGTGAGGTAAGACGTCCAGGTGCATCAATGTGCGACGCGGAAGTGGGTTTCTCAGCCGACGAGCCTGCTTAATGGCAGCATACGGATTGACGGGGCATTGAACGGGCGTGATAGATATTTGTCCCGTCCCGTACAGTAACACGTCGTCGACATTGAACAGGCGCGTACACCGGGGGACGCAATGCAGGCAGCACCCTTCGCTGGCACAACAATTCAATGGCGAAGCCAGTGAGAGGCTGCATCTGCCCTGAGCCGGCTTCAGTGTAGAGCAACTGCTCTATAGCGGAATGAATGCGGGCAACTGGCACCGGGAGGGAACGCATGCGGACGAGGAAGGAGGGGGTTTGGGTGGCCCGGGGTGGTCAGCAACGGGCTTGGGTGATGTCCGGACGCCTGCAAAGCCTCCCCACATTTGTCTTTAGTTTGCGAGAGAAAGTATGTCTGAACCGTCTAGCGGACAGATACATGACCGTGTTGGATGGCACAACATGTCTGCACTGAACGGTCCGGACGGATGCGGGTGGTTTGAGGGTCGGCGTTGAAGATGCCCTAAGGAGGTCCAACTCCTGCTAAACTAGCAATGTGGGACTAAACTTTAGTCCCACCTCTTACCTTGCATGAATGGGCTAAATGGGCCTCTAGAATTTATTAGAAATTTTGTAAATGATTATTGGGCTGGGCAAAAAATAGATCCAATTCCAGCATTGAGTCGTATGATCATTGCTAATCGGGCCGCGCGTCTTTTTTTAAGAAAACAAGTTGAGTTCACGACAACATGCACATATATTCACGCATGGATTCGAAACACATACACTCACACGGTTGCGTGTGGCTAGTGTAGGAGAGCGAGAAGGGTGGAGTGAGGGCTCACGATGACGTGGTCGTAGTTAGCATGGCTAAGATGGCTCCGAGCGAAACAGTGAAGAGGTTGGCGCGGTCCTTACTGAGGAGGATATGAATGCCGAAGCTGGACAGCTGTGGTGCCGGTGACAAGGGGGTTCAGCAGATCACCATTGCGAGAGAGGCACGACGATGGGAATCGGCAAAGAGGGATAACAACTAGCGAAAGGAGGATGGTACGTTGCTAAAGCGCCATTTTCGGTGTGCTAGAGGTGGCGGAGTCTAGCTTTGGCCATGCGGAGGTGGCCGAGGGTACAAGTTGAAGGCCGGAGGTAGCCAGTCAGGATCTGGTCAAATCAGACAGTTGACGTTGTTTATAAGAGTGTCCAACCTTGGACGTTGTTGGTACTCGCGTCTGGATGTTGTTATTCCTAGCGCCCTTCCTAGTTTTCAAATTTCTCATTGATGTTTATTATTTTTAGAGTTACTGGAATATTAATTATCAATAATAAAAATTTCGGCATTAGGGCAATGAAAACTAAAATTTTACATCCAAGTAAGATCATATGGCTTGACTTCCATCTGGTAAGGCATGAAGAGACTTGATCTCGATGTGGCACTACAGCCTGTCAGCCATCATAGCAAGGTGTGTGGCAGAGTCATGGACTGCTTGTTGGTGACCCAACCAAGGTTTTTGACTTCGCTTTGAAAAAAAAGAACCTTGGAAACAGCAGGAGAGGCTCCTATTGATCAGAAAACAACAGTACACTAGTAGAACGCCCGTGCGTTGCTACGGGCTACAATGCATATGAATGAATCAATAAATGATTAATGTTGTCTCCAAGATCAAAGGTCATTTCTCCCTCATACATTCAGGTGTATTCGGACATTAGATGGGCGCCGAACGGGCTCCCAAATCCCGCCCATGTGTGAAGGAGAAACCTGGTTGTCCAGACTATCCATCATGTTGCCTTCAACGACGCACCCTTTGTCGTGGTTCTAAGTCTGACAGTAGAATGGGGGGTAGGTATGGAGAGGCAAGATCCTAGCTATGGAGTAGTCGTACACATGAGTGTTTTACGAGTTCAGACCCTTCTCGGAGGAAGTAATAGCCCTACGTCTCGGAGCCCGGAGGCGGTCGACTGGTTTATGTGTATATGAGTTACAGGGGTGCGAACCCTTCTACCAGTGGAGGGGGTGGCTTATATAGAGGACGCCAGGACCCCAGCCAGCCCACGTAGCAGAGGGTTAAAGTACATTAAGGCCTGGCATTACTGGTAACGCCCTACATAAAGTGTCATCATGACCATTAAGACTACTTAATTACAGACCGTTTGGATACATAATAGATCCTGAATTCCTGATGGTCGAGTGCGTCTTCATGGTCGAG